ATCCACTCACCTCAGCCTCCCAAAGGCATGGGATTACAGACTGAGCCACTGAGCCTGGCCCCTGTACAAATAGAGGTAGTAATGGGAACGAAAGCTATCTGGTTCAGTTTCTCTTCGTGATGTGCCAGGGCCAGGTGTAAGGAGGGGTACTACAACCAAAGAGACTGGTAAGCAGCTCTAAAATGCACTGGTCTAGCGCTGCCTTCACTGATGAGCAGCAAGAGGTGGTATTCCTGGATTGGCAGCGAGAAGGGTCCATTTCTGTTCTGTGAGTGTGTATCATCGTTTAATTTTCCTGGCCCTCAGTTTCTTCAGCTATAAAAAAGAAAATGCTGTCCTTTTCTTATTCCTTTCTGTTTATAGTAGATGTAATATAGTAGGTGGTGTTATTCTTGTCCATCAAAAGTGTCTTTGTTTGGTGTTTGGTCAGTGGCCCACAGCTATAATCCCAGCACTTTGGGAGGTGAAACGAGAGGATTGCCTGAGCCTAAGGGTTTGATACCAGCCTGGATAATTTGATGAGGCCTTGTCTCTAAAATCGATTTAAAAATTAAATTAGACGGGTGTGGTGGTACATGCTTGTAGTTCCAGTTATTTGGAAGGCTGAGTCTACAGTACCCATGAGCGTCCCACTGCACTCCAGCCTGGGCAACGGTGAGATTTTGGCTCAAAAAAATTTTTTTTTCCTTTGGTCCTGGTATGATAGCTCACCTGAAATCTCAGCACTTTGAGAGGCCAAGGAGAGGTGGGTATTGCTTGAGGTATGGAGTTTGAGACCAACCTTAGCAACATAGTAAGATCCTCATCTTTACAAAAGATAAAAAATTAGGTGGTCATGGTGTGTGTGCCTGTGGTCCCAACTACACAGAAGGATCATTTGAGCCCAGGAGTTCCAGGCTGCAGTGAGCTATATGATCTCACTACTCCACTCCAGCCTGGGTGACAGTGAGACCCCCGTCTCTTAAAAAAATTTTTTCTTGTGTATTTATTATCTTTATGATGTAAAAGGTGAACATAAACACAGGAGGGAGCTGGTGAGTCATTTGTACTTACTTTTGTGCTTGAGATTGAAAAAACAATTCTTTCTTCCGTGAGCAGCTGGCTGTGAGCAGTGCCACCTAGAAGAAGCATGTGTGGGGGAAGGAAAGAGCTGGGACTAGGTGAGGAGGAAGTAGGTGAGGCAGGAGACAATACAGTTGGTGTAAGCTAATTAGTTTGGGCTAAATAATTAAGCTAATAAATTTGGGGTTTTACCTTATCACGAAAACATTTCCTTTCACACTAAGTCACATTCCTCCATGGCTGGAGATGGCACTCCTAATTCAAGCTACCTTTTGGAAAATTCACATAAAGTAGTAAATTGAAAGGAATATCATAGCGTTGGTATAAGGGTTAGTTGAGATAACATTAAAAGAATACCTAGAATGGTATCTCACAGCAGGAACCAGATATTATATTATTAGTTTATTAGTTTTAGCTACCCAACAATCAGAAAGGGAAAGTTTTGACTTGAAGATGGAACATCCTTAATGCATTCTGAAATCAAACACAAAGATGCCTTTGGATTATCTGTATCCGAGGTCAGCATAGTAGGACCTGCTGCCTGATTTCTTTTTGAGACAAGGTCTTACACTGTCACTCAGACTAGAGTGCTGTAGCATGATCATAGTTCACTGCAGCCTCAAACTCCTGGGCTCATGGGCTCCTCCTGCTTGAGCCTCCTGGGTAGCTAAGACTACAGATGTACCCTGTCACCCAGCTGAGTTTAAAAGTTTTTTTTAGAGAAGGAAGTCTCTATTTTGTCCAGGCTGGTCTTGAACTCCTGGCCTCAAGCAGTCCTCCCACCTCGATCTCCCAAAGTGCTGGGATTACACACGTGAGCCACTACACCTGGCTTCACCGCCTGTTTTTATAGACTTTTACTGGAATACAGTCTCTTCTGTTTCCTTCATGTCTAGCTGTTTTTTTGCTACCATAGCAGAGCTGGAGATTTGTGTCAGAGATGGTATGGCCCACAAAGTCTAAAATACTTACTTTCTGGCCCTTTATAGAAAAAGATTTACAACTCCTATCCACAGCATTGTTAAACATAGACCCTAGGATTAGGGGTAGGTGCAAGGGTAGTTTGTTCTTTAACGTAAAATTTGTTCTTTATCATAAAATTTTCTAAAAGAATTTAAAAAAAAATTAAAAGTGAGGAATTGTATGTAAACTAGGACTGTGTTATAACTAAAAAATAGTGTGTTGGGGGGTGACTCCAGCTTTGACTTACTCTATTTAAGTGGAAATACTTTCATGGAAAAAAAAGCCATGTTATTAGTTACATATTTCAGAACAATGCTGCTGCTTGCTTCACCTACCTTCCGAATGTAACTTGCATTCCCAGGGCAGGAGCTGGCTAGACACCTAAATGCTGGGAGATGATGCTTCCAGGTGTGCTTGATGGCTCAGCAGTGGACTTGGAGTTTTGATGTTTATCATAGTAATTCACCAAGGCCTACAATCACGAATTGACTCTTTTCTAATTCTGTTAGGAAATTCATGTTAGGGTAGGTTTAACTTAATATGCCATCACTATTATTATTATTTTTTTAGTATGTAAAGTGTGATATTCTCATATCATTTTACCAACAATTGAGGCACTTTTTTGGGGGGACTAGGGGTCGGAGTCTCACTTTGTCACCCAGGCTGGAGGAGAGTGGCACAATCATGGCTCACCACAGCCTCGAACTTCTGGGCTCAGGCAATCTTTCCACCTCAACCTCCTGAGTAGTTGGGGCTATAAGTGTATACCACCACACCCAGCTAATTTTTTGATTTTATATAGAGACGAAGTCTCACTGTGATGGCCAGGCTCGAGCTCCTAGGCTCAAGCAATCCTCCCACCTTGGCCTCCCAACGTGCTGGTGTTATATGCATGAGCCACCATACCCGGCACACTTTTCTCTTCTTCTTCTTCTTCTTCTTCTTCTTTTTTTATTTAATGTAATTTTTTAAAATTTTAATGATGTGGGGTACAATTCAGGATTAGGTATACAAATGTTTATTATGCATATACCCTTGTTGATGAGGTGTGCCCCCCCCCACAGATTTCTCTACTTTAAGAAGCATTTAGTTAGAGACAACACACTTTTTAAAAGTCTAAAATTAGGTAGAAGTATTTATTTGGGGTTAATAATATCTGGATAGTCTTAAATACTTATAGATGATGTTGAAGTAAATTTCTGATTTGAACAGTCAGCAAATTTTATTATTAAGGTAAAAGATGATTAAAAAGTCATACAAATGAAATTGACTTTAAGGTACGAAGTATGTCAACATATTCAAGTTTCAACATACAGAACCAGCATCTCACTGTTAGGACATTTTCCTCAAGTTTCTAAAGCCAGCGTTTCAATTGACTTTTCCAGACCATATTTGAAGATGTTAGTGGTTTTGGTGCCTGGCATCGAAGATGGTGTGTCCTTTCTGGAAACTGTATCTCTTATTGGACTTACCCGGATGATGAGAAACGAAAGGTAATTAAAATATTACTAGTCAATGGTAAAAGCCCTGATGGACTTTGATGTAGTGTTTCATGCTGGTGTTCATTCTGGCCCCCACCACCCACCCATATTTCCCTTTGTGTGTACTCACTAAGCCATTAACAATGTTCTTGTCACCACACATGGTGTTGCATGCCTGTGATCCCAGCTACTTAAGAGGCTGAGGCAGGAGGATCACTTGAGCCCAGGAATATGCTGCGGTAAGCCATGATCGTGACACTGCACTCTAGCTCAGGTGACAGCAAAGTTCTTTCTTTTTTTTCCATGTTCTTATTGCATACCAGTGTGTGTATGTGTATGTGTTGTATATTTGTGTAATATGTCCTATTCATTCCCAGTTATTTGACTGCCTTTAAAATACTTAAAGGCTTATATTTTTTCCTCTCTCCTGGAATGTTTCATAATATATTTTTAGCTAGTTGACTTGCCTATGTCTGGGATAAGACAGTAATGGAACACCACCCCTAGAAACAATGGTTTGGGTTCTAAAACTTACTGGGGTTTTGTGTAATAAATTGTATCTCTTTTTTTTTTTTTTTGAGTTGGAGTCTCACTCTGTCGCCCAGACTGGAGTGCAGTGGCCGCTCCCAGTCACCGCAGCCTCGACCTGCTGGGCTCTGGCAATCCTTCCGCCTCAGGCTTCCAAGTAGCCGGAATTACAGGCATGCGCTGCCACGCCCGGCTAATTTTTTGATTTATTGTAGAGATGAGATCTCGCTGCCCAGGCGGGTCTCGAACCCGCGGGCTCAGGCAGTCTGCTCACCTCAGCCTCCCAAAGGCGTGGGATTACAGGCTGAGCCACCGAGCCCGGCTTGTATCTCATTTTTAAAGAAGTTATTATTATCACCCAAGTAAGGTTATTTATTATCCCAAAACTGGAAATAGAAATAAGCAGAATTAAAAAGGAAAAAGCATCCATAACAGAGATAACTATTACTCATAATTTGGTTGTATATCTTTGTAAACCTTTAAAATGCATAATATATAATAATAATATTCACTTATGACTCTTTTAAAACAAAAAGCAGCATGCTTTTTATAACCTGATTTTTACTTGATGATATATCCTAACATCTTTCCACATCAATAAAACTCATCCATAAAGTCGTATTTAGCAGCTGTATGTATTACATTGTAGTCAGGAGGATGATTAATATTTTAAGGATTTACTGTGAAGTGTTTAAGACAGTCAAAAAAGCAGTTACAAATAATTTCAATCAACCTCTATGTTGGTACAGTTGAAGCTCTCTGTGTAATTATCTTTTCCCCACAAAGATAACCCTATCTTAAAATTCTTTACTGTTTCTATGAATTTCTTTAAATTTTTATTATACAGGTTGGGTATCCATTATCCGAAATGCTTGGGACCAGAAGCATTTTGGATTTTTTTTTCTTCCAGATTTTGGAATATTTGCATTATACTTGCTGGTGGGGCATCCCTTAATCCAAAATCCAAAATCTGAAAAGCTCCAATGAGCCTTTCCTTTGAGCATCATGTCAGCTTCAAAGTGTTTTGGATAATGGGGCATTTTGAATTTCAGATGATTGGATTTGGGATACTTCGCCTTTATATGTAAATAAGCAATATACGTTATTGCAATTGTATGTTTTTAAACATGACACAGTACTGTCGTACTGTATGTATATTTGGAAACTTGCCTCTTTTATCTCAATATGGCTTGTGAAATCAGTCTAGGTGGTATTTGCAGCTCTAGCTTGTCCCTTTTCTCTGTCATATAGTGTCCCATTGTAAGACCATACTGCATTTTATTCATTCACCTATGTATGGACAATTAGGCTAGGTGATTTCCAAATTGTTGCTGTTACAAACAGTGCGCTTGTGATTTAGCTTCTTATGCACATGCATGAGACTTCTTCCTTGAGTTTTACTTAGTAGCAGAATTGCTGAGTTGTAGGGTTTGTACATCTTCAACTTGACAAGATTTTATCAAATGATTCTCAAAATATGATTGTGATTCTCACAGGAATATAAGAGTTCACAGTTTTCTATATGCTCACCAAAACTTGATATGTCAGCCTCTTAAACTTTTATTATTACGATAAGTATGAAATGTTAACTCACTGTGTTACTTTGTATCTCCATGATTACTAGACTGAGCATCTTTTCTTGTGTATATGGCCATATATATTTTCTCTCATATGAACTGATTGTCTATATTTTCTCCACTTTTTCCATATTTTTGGATGCATTGCAATTATATTTATCTAGGTGTATGCTTAGCATATCTTTTAATTTATCTTTATAGTGTCTTTTCATAAACAGAATTTGTTGATGTTGAGGTAATCAGAGCTGACAATCTATTGCTTTGATGGTGCTTTTTGTGGGTTTTAATTATGAAAACCTTCCTTATCCTGTAGTCATAACAATTTCTCTTTTTTTTTCATATACTTGAAAGTTTTTATTAGTTTTATGATCCATAAAACTCGGACATTTCAAGAACATGATATAATCACTAGTTTTAAATGTGTGCAGTCACATAAGCACCATCGCAGTCATGAGCTAGAACATCTGCTTCACCCCAAAACATCCCTTAGACCCTTTCACAGTGAGTCACTCCCCCAACCTCTAGTCCTCAGCAATCTTGATCTTCTTTCTGTCTCTGCAGTTTAACTTTTTCTACAACTTTCTATATGTTGAATCACACACTAAGTACTTTTTTTGTATCTGGCTTCTTTCATTCAGCATAATGCTTTTGAGTTTTGTCCATGGTGTTTTGTGTAACCATAATTTGTTTCTTTTTATTGTCGAGTAGAATTCCATTGTATGAATGCACCCCATTTTATCTGTTCATCAGATGATAGATACTTAAGTTGTTTCCAGTTTTTGGCTATTCTGAAGAAAGCTATTATAAACATTCGCATAAAAGTTGTTATATGGATATACGTTTTTACTGACTTTAGATAAATATCTAGAAGTGGAATTACTGGATCATATTGCAAGTATTTGTTTAATTTTATAAGAAACTGGCCAACTGTTTTCAAAGTGGCTACACTATTTTGCAAAAGCTACACTATTTTGCAACCACCAACAATATATTTCAGTTCTAGTCATCCCACATCCTCACCAATATGGCAGGGTCAGATTTTTTTCATTTTAGCCCTTCTAATAGATGGGTAGTTGTATTTCATTGAGGTTTTAATTTGTGGTGACTAATGATGTTCAGTATGCTTTACATATGTTTCTTTGGTAAAATATCTGTTTGAGTATTTTGCCCATTATTAAATTGAGTTGTCTTCTCATTACTGAGGGGTGAAAGTACTATAGATATTCTGGATATAGGTTCTCATTTCAGTGTCAAATATCAATTTCACAGATATTTTCTTATAGCCCGTAGATTGCCTATTTGTTTTCTTAATAATGTTTTATTTTTTTATTAATTAATTAATTTATTATAAAGATGTGGGGTGCAATTCAGGGCTAGATACAAACATTGATCATGCAAGTACCCTTGTCGATGAGGCATGTCCCTCCCTCCCCTAGCAGCTTCCCCCAACTGCCAGTCCCACGCCCCCTTCCCCTGACAGTTTTCCGCCACTGCTGATCGCCTTCCCACAGCATTATAATTGTTCAAGGTCACCTTATGAGTGAGAACATATGGAACTCAGTTCTTTGTTTCTGTGATGAATCACTGAGTATGATCGACTCCAAATCCATCCAATTTGCTGCATAGTCCAAATATTTGTCCTTCTTTACCACTGCATAATATTCCATTGTGTATATGTACCACATTTTTTATCCAGTCCAGCTTTGATGGCAACACTGTTGGTTCCATGTTTTTGCTATTGTGAATAGAGCTGCTACAAACATATATGTGCAGGTATCTTTTTTGTAGAATGATTTGAATTCCTCCGGGTATATTTCCAATAGGGGAATTGCTGGGTCACATGGAAGGTCAATTTCTAGTTCCTTCAGAAATTGCCACACTGTCTTCCAAAGAGGTTGTATTAGTTTGCATTCCCACCAGCAGTGTAGAAGTGTTCCTTTTTTTTTCCACATCCTCACCAGCATCTGTTGTTGTTTGTTTTATTAATGATGGCCATTCTTACAGGGGTTAGGTGGTATCTCAATGTGCTTTTGATTTGCATTTCTCTAATGATGAGTGAGGCTGAGCACTTTTTCATGTGTCTGTTGGCTGCCCGTATATCTTCTTTTGAGAAGTGTCTATTCATGTCTTTTGCCCACTTTTTAGAGGGGCTGTTTGTTTTTTTCCTTTCAGCGCGTTTGAGTTCCTTGTAGATCCTAGATGTTAGACCTTTGTCAGATATACAGTTGGCAAATATTTTTTCCCATTCTGTGGTCTGTCTCCCTGCTCTCTTGATGGTTTCTTTGGCTTTGCAGAAGCTTGCCAGTTTAATGAGGTCCCACTTGTCTATCTTATCTCTTATGGCCTGGACACTTCGGGTTTTGGTCAGGAATCTGTTGCCAGTTCTAACTTCCATAAGAGTGTTTCCTGCATTTTCTAAGGTTCTTACAGTTTGAGTTTTTATGTTTAGGTCTTTGATCCATTTAAAGTTAATTTTTGTGTATGGTGATAGGTAGGGGTCCTGTTTCAATCTTCTGCATGTGTTCAGCCTGTTTTCTCAGCACCATTTACTGAATAGGTTCTCCTCTCCCCAGTGGTTGTTACTGGAGGCTTTGTCAAAGATGAGTTGGTTGAGGAATTGAGGCCTTGCTTCCGGAATCTCTAACCTGCTCCATTGGTCTATGTGCCTGTTCTTGCACCAATACCAGGCTGTTTTGAAAACTGTAGCCTTATAGTAAAGTTTGAAGTCTGGAGGTGTGATACCTACTGCTTTGTTTCTTTTGCTAAGGATTGTTTTGGCTATTCGTGGTCATTTATGTTTCCATATAAATTTCTGTATTGTCATTTCCCTGTCTGAGAAGAATGATGTTGGTAACTTAATAGGTATTGCATTGAATCTGTAGATTCCCATTGGTAGGATGGACATCTTAACAATGCTGATTCTTCCTATCCATGAGCATGGGATATTTTTCCATTTGTTTGTGTCTTCTTGGATTTCTTTAAAGTTAGTTTTATACTTCACATTTAATTTACCCGTAATTGATTTTCCTTTTTTTTTCCTGTCAGGGTAACCAACTGTACCAGCATTATTGAATGGTCAATTCTTTTTTCCACAATGCCATTTCTGGCATGTATCAAGATGTCATTATATGTGTAGATTTATTTTTAGGCTTTTTATTCTATTTCCTTTGTTCTGTTTCTCTATCCCAATCTCAATGGCCATAGCTTTAAAATAATCTTCATGTCTGATATAGCAAACCTCCTAACCCATCTTATTCAATAATGTATGGTAGTCCCCTCCTTATCTGCAGGGAATATGTTTCAGGACCCCTAGTGGATGCCTGAAACCATGGATAGTACTGCACCTGCATCTTTAATGTGTCTTTCATCTTAAACTAGCACTTCTCGTGCACTTTGGCTATAACTTTTTCACTTTGAGATGTGACAGCAAAACTAGCATGTATTTCTTTTTTCTTCAGAATTTCACAGAAGCATCATTCTTGTTGTAGATCTTAGCAAACTCAGCATATGTTTTTTTTTTCCTTATTAAGTTTAGAACTTTTACCTTTTCACTCAAAGGAATCACTCTATGACTTCTTTTTGGCATATCTGAATTGCCAGCATCACTGCTCTTGAGTTATTGGGACTACTTTATTAGGTTAAATAAGGCTTCCTTGAACACAGCACTGTGTTACTTAGTAGCAGAATTGCTGGGTGTGGGGTTTGCACCTTTGGTCTGACAAGGTGGCAGCCCCTATGTGACTAGTGGGTGGGAACATCTGCAGCAGGATATGCTGGACAAAGGGAGGATTCATGTACAGGGCAGGGCATAGCAGAACTGTGTACAAGCTCATCGCGCTACTCAGAATAACATGCAATTTGAAATTTACGGCTTGTTTATTTCTGGAATGACCCATTTAATATTTTCAGACTGGTTGGCTATGAGTAACTGAGGTCATGGAAAGCAAAACCATGGATAAGTGAGGACTACTGTATTATTATTCTTGACTCTTGATTTTTTCCGTACACACATACACACATGGAAATATATATACATTACTTTTTATGATTTTCAATCATAAAATCTACACAAAACAGAGAGAAATAGTATAATGAACTTATAATTATTAATTTCATTTCTCTCTCCAAACACGCATACTTTTTTGTTCTTGTTGCTTTGCTTGAGTGTTTTAAAGCCAATACCAGAATTTCCATATATCACTTTACCTTCATGAGCCCAGGTTGCAGGTTCCGATTGCTGGCAAATGCCCCAAGGGAAACCAGGGTTTCAGCTTGCTAATAGTCTTCATTCGCTCTTCCTCATTGATTTTGGCCTTTGAAGGTTTCCTTTCATGTGAGTTCAGTTATCTAGCATTTGAGAAGTCTATAATGGGAGGACTTTCAGACTATTTAGTGTACCATATTGCTGGAAACATAAATATCATGATTTATTTAAATAGTCTGCTATTACTGTCATGTGTTTCATATTTTTTGCTATTTTGAAAAAAGAGTGACTATATACATATTAAAGTCTTTGTGTATTTATTTATAGATTTTTTAGGATAAATTTCTTTTAGGTGGAATAGTAGGATTAGAAAATGTTCCTTTTTAATGCTTTTTGATTGTTGTCATGAAGTTGCCTACCATTAAGTGACCATTTATCCTTTCACCAGTGGGTGTATCAGAATTCCTATTACTCATCCTCAACTCAGTCAACAGAGGTTGTTACTATTCTTTCCAGAGTTGGCTGGTCCTAAGTTTTAAAATGATATATTTCATTGTAATTTATTTTTTGAAATTACTAAGAGAATTGACACTTTGACTGTTTATTCATTGTTTATTTCCATATAAGTCCCCATTCTTGGGCTCATTTGGTCGCATGAATTTTTATCTCCACTTTGGCTCTCATCCCAGAGGAATGACATGGCTTCCAACAATACAAAGCGATTGTCTGGCCTTATCTTTATTAAATACATGAAAAATATTTACACATTAAATACGATGTCTAGGTTTCCTTTTATAGAAAGGGGAGAAGTAGGTAAGGTATAGATAAAAGGTTGTTGAATGTGTGTTGCTGATTGTTGAAGCTCGTTTTGGTATTAGGTGTTCATTATATTTTTTTTATTTTCTGTTTGAAGTTTTCCATAATAAAGAGTTTTATAGGATAGCTACCAAGAGCTATCGGTTGATATTTTTGGTTTCTATCTTTACATCCAACAAGAAACTGATAAATATTGAATATGTTTCTTTAAGCCCAGTGTAACTAAATTTTAATTTTTAACTTAATGACTTTAATTTGTACCAACTTAAACACTACTTAATCCTTACTGACTTTAAAAAGTCTTGCTTATTTTCTACTAATATTTTTAAATTTGTTTTTAAAGAATCCCATAGGAAGGATAAATCTGGCCAATTGTACTAGTCATCAGATAGAACCAGCCAACAGAGAATTTTGTGCAAGACGCAATACTTTTGAATTAATTACGGTGCGACCACAAAGAGAAGATGACCGAGAGACTCTTGTCAGCCAATGCAGAGACACACTCTGTGTCACCAAGTATGTATTGGGCTATTAATATTTCTGTGAACTAGGTAATTGATATTCACTATGTTCTTAGCACTATGAGAAATATCAGAGATGGTCCTTGACTTTGAAAAAGATACAGCCTTAGTGAGAAAACAAAACACACACAGAAGAGCAAGATAATAATCTATAACAACTAAATATAGTTAATAAAAGTATAAAAGTCACGTTATATCTTAGCTAATCGTGTTTTCCAATGTGCTCACAGTGTAGGGTTTTTTTTTTTTTTTTTTTTTTTTTTTAGTGGAATTCTCACTCTGTTGTCCCAGGCTGGAGTGAGGTGGTATGCTCACGGCCACCCCAGCGTTGGCCTCCTGGGAACCGGTGATCCTTCCACCTCAGCCTTCCAAGTAGCCAGAACTACAGGTGTGCACTACCACACCCAGCTAATTTTTAATTTATTGTAGAGGTGAGGTCTCGCCAAGTTGCCCGGGCTGGTCCTGAACCCAAGGGCATAGGCAATCCACTTGCCTCGGCTTCCCAAAGTGCTGGGATTATAGCCTGAGCCACTGATCCTGGTCAGTGTAGGTATTTTCAAGGCAGTTAGCTAATCTTTGGATTGAGTTTAAAGATTTCATGTGTAGTTGAGAAATTGAGCATTATTTAAAGAAAATGTATACATTTCTTTCTTTTCATTCCCCCAAATACCCTCATTTAATCAGATGACTTATAAAAACAATCTCTTTCTAATCTGCAAATTTCTAGTTGAAGATTAACAGAATAGCCAGGTGTGGTAGCTCACACCTGTAATCCTAGTACTTTGGGAGGCAGAGGTGAGAGGATTACCTGAGCTCAGGGGTTCAAGACCAGCCTGAAAAACATGGTGGGACCTCATCTCTACAGTAAATCAAAAAAATCAGCAGGACGTGGTGGCACATTCCAGTGGTTCCAGCTACTTGGAAGGCTGAGGCAAAAGGATCACCTGAGCCTAGCAGGTCAATGAGCATGCCACTGCACTCCCACCTGGGCAACAGAGTGAGACTTCACTCAAAAAAAAAAAAAAGTTAATAGAATAAAACTCTTGGGAGTGTCACTTTTCTAATTCACCCTGAGTTTAAGTATAAGCTACAAAAGAAACTTACCTTACTGCTAGGATAGGTTTTTTTGCTTGGATGCTCCAGAGAAACTTAAAGACCACCTTCAGTATATATAGTTGTGATTAGGGACAAAAGTTGGAGTTTGACAAAAATATTTACTAATCAGGCTGTTGCTGGATATTTCCAGCAGAGAGATTAGTAGAACTGACTTCATGAGTTTATAATGTGAAAATATTAGAAAGTTACAGTCAAGCAACTCTATACTAAAATAGAACAAAGTTTCCCAGAGTCTGCTAGATAGTGGAACAATTCTCTAGAAATGCTTGATGTCTAGATTATTTCCAGGTTAATACAGCTTAACATATCCATTCCTTTCCTTCAGCAACCATCATTGCGGCAGTGTTATCAAAACATGAGGGCTGAGGCAAAATGGATTTCTAATCATTTTGTTTGATAGCTACCCTGTCCATGGTCACAGTCAGTGGGGGAACCAATCAAAGTGCCGTATCCAAATAGTTCCTGACTACAACAGCCTACATTAGCCCTTTTAGATATGACTCACATTTTTCCATGTAAGCTTACTTTTTACCTGCTGTATAAGCCCTCTTAGACTTCTCTGTAGACCTTCCCCTGTGATAGAAATAGCTAGATCACATGTTGCTCTAATTACTTGATACCTCATTTGCTATTTCTCATTCTAAAGTTATCATAACTTGGATGGGCACTCCTTTGCCCAAGCATATGAGATGGGCACGTTCTCAATTCCATCTTGGCAACTGAGTCTTTGGCTTGTCTTGGTGGCCTACAACTTACGTCATTGTTTTCATTATAAGAATACAAACATTCTGCAGTTCTGCATTCTCCTTTGCCTTATGGATCTGTTTCCTTATGGACCTTTCTACCTATACTTTCTATGTGAATTTAATGTACCTCATTTTCATTTCTATTACCTCAGCGTGCTGTTTTTCTCTTCAAAACAAAAGATTTCTCTTCTGATCACTATTGACTCCTTCAAAGTAGAGACTATACACATGAACTAGAACCGCTGCATCATGTGGTGATGTGGTATTTGCAGTGGAGCTTTGAAGTCAACAGACCTAAGTTTAAATCCCGACGCAGTGGCTTACCAAATGTAACTATGACAGGTCACTTAACTTTGCTGGCCCTCTGAAAATAAACTCCACAGAGTGACAGTAGAGATTAATGAATAAACACACTTAGCATAACATCTACACATGGAATGAGCTCAACAAATGGTCACTGTTACTATTGTTAGTATTTTCTCCACTGACTATTCAGAGATGATAAACTCACCATTTATTCCTGCTTATACCATTTCTAGTACCAATGGGGAGAAATTTTAAAGATGCATAATGAATACAATCTAAAAACCTTGAAACTGGCTGTTCTCTAGAAAGATGGCCTGGCCTTGAGTTAGGGATGTCTCCCTTTAATTACCCTGGTCTTCCCCAGCTACTAGTTATTCCTTTAACTCGTAGCTAAATATGGATGTAAGGAAGAGATTCCTAATATAGGCAGAGAGGTTAAGATAGTTAAAGTCTTAGGATCTTTAGACAAGTTATCGCAAATACCATGTTCTACTAACAGTGCAGGACAAAAATAATGGGAGACAATGCAAAATAATATTACCTGTGGAACCAAGTGAAGGTCCATGATCCTGTGTTTCCAGCTCTTGGGGAGCCTAACTCTGAAGGACATTGGGAATTCCCAGATTCAGGCCTCTGGTGTTCTTGCTGGGAAGTCTCATAGATGTCCCCTGCCTCCAAATTGCCCAGGCCAGACTATTTGTACAAAACAGTTACCCTCATTAGTTGGAGATGTCATCATTAACTGGGTAAGTCATGATCATCTCACTCAACTGGGGATCACTTTACTTCATTGTACATGGAGAAGCACCTCTCCGTGTGGTTCTCGATTAGACCCACAAGAGATGGTGAAGAACCACTAATTTGCTTAATCCTTTTTTTT